TACAAGCCAGGGGTAGTGGTCATGTAGCCTTAAGATCTATCCAAAAGAGAGAGAATCTAGATTAAGACCATAAGCTAGAGAGATTAAGCATATGAAACCTCTAATCTATCCCATCTCAAACCCTAATGGGTAACTACTCACTACACATGAATGTAAACACAAGCAAATGCAATGAAAAGAGACATCATAAGAAAGAGGAGATGAAATTAAAGAACTTTTATTGAAATAAGCAAGTGCAAATACAAAGCAAATAATCCAGGATCTAAGATTCAAGAAGCAAGAGCTTCAAGAACACAAAGATGGGATTAGATTGCTAAAAAGTAAAGACAATAAATTAAAGAGAAGCTAAAACAAAATAATCTAAAGCTTGGTGGTTTTTTCGTGGCTTAGAGCCTTTAAATACAAGAGGATTTAGGTTTAGGGTCAAAGGAAAGTCAAGGGGGAAGCAACATTTTTCGGGTTTGACTTTGACTCCCCAGCTCGATCGAGTTGAAGCTTGGCCGGTCGAGTTGAGGAACTCGACCGGTTGGTCGAGTAGACGGTCGAGCTGGTCTTCAAGATGGCTTCTCCCTTCTTCCTTTGCGTGTCCAGTTGAGCTGCTTCCATGCGCCAAGTCCCTCCATGCTCCTTATGTCCCATATGCTCCAGAATGCTCCAAAAGACCTATTTCAAAGGACCAAACATGCATATGTATGCAAATGCAACCTAAAACTAACATGAATGCATAAGAAGAGAAAAGGAACAAGATATGATGCAAATGGAAGCTAAAACTATGCAAAAGATGCATAAAAGATGTGCTAAAACTATGTAAAATGCAAGTACATCAACACCCCCAAACTTGAACTTTGCTTGCCCTCAAGCAAACAAATAGAACAAGAAAGAGATGAGGTTTGAAAACAGCTGATTCAACACTTAAAAACATGTCCTCAAAAGCGATTTGCTAAATGTCCAACTTAGAGATTCTAGAATGCAACAAGGTGAGAGATATTCATTAAGATTTAACCATGCTTATCAACATCAATCCCACTTCACAGTCACTCAAACAATGCATTCAAATCAGCAAATCCCTTTAACATTCATTAAGCAAAAACAAAAACATGCAAGATCAATCAACTCATTTGGTTTCAAGGGTTTATGGGTTAAGAGACAAAGAGGGTCTCTTTTGTATGGTGGTTTAGTAACAGGGATCTCTCAAGAAAGTGGCTTTGCTTTGGCAGAAGGCTAAGTGTTAGAACCAAAGATGATGCAAGAACAGCAGCTCGAGCCGCCTAATCCTAACTCGATCGAGTTCAACACTTAGAGCTTTTTAGAACAAAATCCTAACTACCCTTTTTGGCATTTCGCCTTTGAAACTGAGGAGCTTTGCTCACTTTTCTTTTAAGAACTTCCTAGGGAGAGGCTTCTTGAGGTAACATCTAGCGGTTTGGGATTTTCTAAACACTTAGGGAACTTTTCTTCCTTTTTGACACTTGAGGCTTTGCCTTCTTTTCATTCTACTTAGAACCCTTTTTACTTTCCTTTTTTAACTTCCCAAACCTTTACTAGACCCTTTTAACACTGCCAACTCCCTGGACTTAACCAAACTCTTTTTCCTTTGGGTTTTTCCCAATTTTACCACTTTTCTGGTTTTTGACACCCAACTCGATCGAGCTCGAGTTGGCACCCCCAAACTTAGCCTGAAAACAATCCCAAGAGAACTAGACAACTAGAACTACTGCCCCTGCCGGTTTAAACACAACACCTTATGCTAAGCAAAGCCAAGAAAGGTTCTCACATTCGCACAAGAGATAATAATGGGGTTTGAAATGAAAAGGCTTAGGTTTAAGGTGTGGTAACTGTCTCAAAGATAGAGATCAGCTATCTGGACAAGCAAAAGGGATATGAAAATGGTAAAGAATGTCCAGATATGTATGTGGTAGCCATGAGTTGAAATCAAATGCAAGCATTGGTAATTAAAGATCAAGTTATGGTTCAAATAGATAGGGAAATGCATCAAATCACAGCAATGGTTGAATGAGATGTGCATGCAGTGATATGATCAAGATAAACATGGTTCTTGCTGCTCAATCAATCTCACCCTAATGCACAAAAGAATCTAAAAACAGGGCACTCAAGAAATCGCAAAAGATGGACAAGTTTTCAAAGTCAAATCAACAATGCAAGTGAAAAATGCAATCCTAAACAAGTCTAACAAATATGAATGCAAAAAGATGAAAATATTTTTGGATTTTTTGAAAATTTTATGATTTTTTTGGTTTTTCTATGCAAAAGATAAATGAAAAACTAAGAACAAAGAAAACAAGGTTAAATCATCTCTTGAACCCTCCCCCAAACTTAAATCACACAGTCCCTTGTGTGAGAAAAATTCAGTGAAAGATTCAAGAGGGCAAAACCAAGAAAAAACAAGAACAAATGCAAGAAAATATGAAATGGTATATACAAGGGTTGGTGTTTGGATACCTCAGTGCCCCCAAAGAACTGGGAGGCTAGGTCGTGGTCTGGAGATGGGAGACGGCCATCAGGAGCACTCCACTCAACTGGGTTCGGCTCACTCGATCGAGCTTGTGGCTCCTCTCCTCTCTTCTTCATCTTCAAAGTGGGTGTGGCTTCCTTGGCCTTGGTGGAGCTTGTGCTCGCTCGAAGCGGTTGTAGGGAGTCCAGCTCTGAGAGAAGTCCTGGTACTGGGTTGAATCGTACTCGAATCCAGGGTTCTCAAACAGGGGCTCCTCCAGGTCAACTCGACCCTCAGCTCGATCGAGTTGAGTTTCCTCTGTTTGGACTCGATCGAGTCCGGTGGTCGAGCTGGAGCGTCTGGCCTTGGAACTCTTCCTCCTTCTCTGCGTGTTGTCTCTCCTTCTCCTTGGCTCGAAAGAAGAGGCTCTGTGAGGCTCTTGGGCAGGGAGCCTTCTTGGGTGGTGAGGAGTGACTACTCCTAGGGAAAGTGGGGGCCTTGGACTTCTTCTTGCTTGAAGAACCAGAAACCTTCTTCTCCAAACTTTTGATCTTGCTCACCATCTTGTCCATGGACTTTTGCATCTTCTCATGGCTTTCCCTTGCCACTTTGTTGAACTTTTGGAGAAGTCCAATCCTCTTGTGGGCAGCCACAACAGAGGGGTTCATCCTTGGAGCCTCATACTCCTCAAAGTAGTAGCACTCAGGCTCACCCAAGTCAGCGCTCCCTGGACCTGATTTCAGCTCGATCCTCAGCTCGATCAGCTCAGACTCAACTCGATCGAGCTCAGGCTCCTCTTCTCGCAATCATCCTCATGCCCAACTAATGTGTACACAGGGGGTCTGAAATCAATGTTCTCACCCCTTACAACTGTGGTGAGCTCTGGGTTAGGCAGGAGAACTTGGAGGGTCCAACCAATGGATGTGTGAACTTGAATTGGAACCTCCCATCTAACTCCTTGTGCTCAATGAGGAGGTTGGTCTTGCAGAACTTGATGTCCATCCAACCTGGTTCAGTAGCTCTCCTATCAGTTGGGTTTACTCCAGCAGCACACAAGATAGGTGTGATGAGCCCTCCAACACTAAGCTTTCTTCCTCTTTGGTGCCTAGTGTTGTAAGCTGTGATCTTGTAGGTGAGGAGGTGGTCAAGGAAAGGCATCAAGTTCCCTGTGTCAGACCTATCTCCCCTTATCCTCTTGCCATCGCTTGTGCGTGAGAGAAGGGCTTGATTCCCATGTCAAGAAACTTGAGTTCCCCCTCGTTGATTGTCCCGGTCGCCTTCCTTGCAAAGAAGGTGTTGGCAAGTGCCTTGTGCACATATCTCAAGACTGGGCTCCTGATCTGAGCTGCCTTGGACCTTGAGGAAGAGTACACTCCATCAGCGATTGTAGCCCAAACCCTTTGGAGTTCCTTTTCCTTGAAGTTCCACTTGGTTCCCTCTCCATAGTTGAACCCAAACAAGATCTCCAGCTGCCTAAAGGTCACCATTCTCTTCTCTCCCTTAGCCAAGAACGTGATCCATCCCAATCCTTGGTCCAAATCAGCTCTATCTTCTCCTCATACATGTGGTACCTCATTGAAGCTAGAACTCGCAAGTGAGCTCCTTGTAGGATTCCATGTGGTAGAGAAGAGCTTGGCCAAGTGCATGTTCTTGAGGACCAACTCCACATCTTCAAAGATTCCAAGGGCCTTCATGGTGTCAACATGTGGGTACTTGGTGTCCATGAAGTCCATGGAGAAGAGAGCATCATAGTGCTCTTGGTACATGGGGAGCTCATCCTCTTCTTCCTTGACTCCTCCTCTTCCATGGGCACATTCTCATTGCTCCTCATGCTCACTCTCCTCAATCTCTTGATTGATCTCTTCACCCTCTTCTTCACTTGGGAGTCATCATTCTCCTCATGTGGGATGTTCACCCAATTTCAAACTCTCCTTGCTTCGCTCTCACTGCTGAGAGGATCATTCCTTCTTTTGGTTCTCCTTTCTTCCCTCACCCTCTCAACCTCTTCTATGTCCTCCTTGGTTTGTGTTTTGAGTATCCTCCTTGCTCCTCTTATCATCTCCATCCTTGTGAACGCTGCTTGCTTCCTTCACCTCTCAACATCTTAGATTGGTCCTGAAATGCATCAAAAGTTCAAAGAATTAGAGTTGTAATGATCGGTTTGGTCAACTCGACACTCAGCTCGATCGAGTCAAAAAACTCGAGTGACAAACTCGATCGAGTTGGTGAAAACAGAGTATAACCAAACCTAATTCATGTATTAAGAGCTGGAAAGGATGCTAATCAATCAAATTGAACCAAGAACAACTAGTAAATGGAACAATAGCAATTCTAGTGAAAACATAGCAACCTTAACCATACCAAACTCAAATTCAATTTCAAGCACATGCAACAAGTTTAAAGGCAAAACAGAGGTGAGGTGAAGCAAAACTAACAAGTTAAAGGCAGAGGCGAAAAAGAAAGCAATTACTCAATAACAAGTCCACAAGGGACACATGCAATCAAAATCAAGAGAAAACAAGCAAAGGAATCGAGATGGAGGAGTGAAGGGTTTTAGGGTTCATACCTTGTTGAATGATGGAATTGAAGAGCAGTAAACTAAGAACTAAGCAAAACAGATGAAGAACAAATGAAATCGCAAAAACTTAAGAGAGAGGGATTGAAAATCGATTTTTCTTGTGGTGAAGAGAGAGATGGATGATTTCAGAAATTTAAGATGTGGGAGAGAGAGAAGGTGGATTCGATCGAGTTATGGGGAAGAGAGTTGTTTGAGATGTGTGGTTGAGATTAAAAGATGATAAAGAGGGAACAAGAAACTAGGGATTCTCTGATCAATTAGGGTAGTGGGGGACCAAAATCAGCTTGTGGGACCCACTCCCTTGACCAAAAAACGGTTATGAATTTGAAATTCAAAAACTTACCTTGGTCGAGTTGAGTACTCGATCGAGTTGCCCTGGTTTCTAGCTCGATCGAGCTGTGGTCGAGCTGGCTCCTTGACACCTAAACTTAACTTATTGAAAGGTTAAAAACATAAAGATAGATAGAAATTGCATAAATAGAGTATGTACAAGGATAAACATGGGACTTCCTCCCAAGTGAGCTTGTTTAAGGTCCCATAGCTTGACCTTTACCTTCTTAGGCATTGGTTGAGCTAGTCCCACCATCAAGGGTGATAGTGAGGACTTGAGACAGAAGCTCCTTTAGCTTGGTTGGGTCCCTGGACTGTTCTGAAGTCACCAAGGCCTTGGCTCTAGAGAATGGCCTTGATCTCCCCTTGTACCTTATCTTGTACTCAATCTTCCCATTTTCAAACTTGGTGGGGAACAAAGTCATTGTGAGCTGAGATGGCTTGACTGAAGGGGCCTGAGCTGGTGGATCCTTTCTTTTATCTCCTGGTCTTGCCTTAGAGGCTGCATCCTCCCCTTCTTTTAGAGCCCTTCCTAGTGGCTCATCAAACAAAGCTTGAAGGCTCTCTTCATCAAGCACACAAGGGGCTTGAACAAGTCGCTCAGCTCTTGGCCTATCAGATCGTGGTTTCTCAACTCTAGCCCTCTCAAGACGTGGCTTCTCAATCCTTGGTCCTCTCTCATCCTTATCCTTCCCAACTCTTGGTTCCTTGTCAACCCTTTCCTTCACAACCTTTGTAGCTCCATGACTCTTAGAACTGAGATTGGTACTGTCAATTGTGGCACAAAAGTCTGAACCTCTAGGCTGCAAGCGATATGACACCAAACTATTCACCTTGTGAAGGATCACTTCTTGCTTGTGAAAGTCAATTGAAGCGCCAACTGTACTAAGGAAAGGGGTTCCCAATAACAAGGCAAATCCTTCTCTTCTTCCATTTCCATCACAGTGAGATCAGTTTGGATGATGCATTCTCCAATTTTCAAGTGATAGTTCTTGAACACTCCAAGAGGAGACTTAGAAGTTGCATCTCCAAACATGATTGAAGTAGTAGGGCGCTGCAAGGCTCCAGCAATGCCTAGCTTCTCTGCCATGGAGAGAGAGATCAGATTGATGCTTGCTCCAGAATCCACTAAGGCATTGTCAATCTCAAGATGCCCAAGTGTGCAAGGGAGAGTGAATTTCCCTTGATCCTTGACCTTTGGTAGGAAGGTGGGTGAAGTAAGCAGGTTGAACTGATGAGTAGACTCTTGTAGGACCTCTGAAACTTTATCACTGTTGGCTAGAACATCCTTGACCATTTGCATTTGATCAAATGCCTCACTCATGCTATCCATAGAGGCAACTCAATTCCAATCCCACTGAGATCTCTTCTGAACTTGTGAATCACTTCCTTGTGACCTTGACTAAGTAGGCGAGACGAGGAAGCGGCAACCGGTTGATAAGGATCAAGCAAAACAGGCTGTCGGACAGAAGAGGTCGGACTCGATCGAGCTAGAGTTGGACTCGATCGAGCTGCCGATCGAGCTTGTCGTGCGAGCTCAACTGGTGAAGTGTGAATGGCCACAGTAGGTGCCTGCACTTCTGGTTGATCAATCTGGACTCCAGGAGCCTCAGCAGCAACAATCTCTTCATCATTCAGCAGTAAACAAAAATCTTCAATGACCCTTTCTTGATCCTCTTCTTCAACAAGTCCTTCTTGAGTGAAGATGACCTTGCACTGTTCCTTGGGGTTCTGAATAGCTTTACCAGGTAGTTGTCCTTGCTTTGTAGCAGCAGCAACAGAAGAAGCATGATTCTCCAGAGAGTAAACCCTTGTGTTGAGGTTCTCGATCTTAGAGTTTATTTCAGCTAGCTTCTTGCTTGTGTCCACTACCCCATCAGCTTGCCCTTGAAGTAGTTGCTTTAGCATTGCCTTGAGCTCATTCTCTTGTGAAGGTGCAGGCTGGGGCGGTTGGTGGGGGAAGCCTGGTGGGATATTCATTTGTTGTCCAGGGAAAGTGCCTTGTGGTCCTTGGTAATTGTTCTTTTGACCATACCCATGTTGTGGCCTGACTCGATCGAGCTGCTTGTTGTTGAGGATATACTTGGTCCTGAGGGTTAGCAACATCAGTGTTGCGGTATGACATGGCAGGGTTGGACTTGTAGTTATAGTATCCTTTGTTGTAACCTCCTTGCCCATTGCTCATGTAGCACATACCTCAGCAAATTGTGTATCCTCCCCTTCTTGGACTGGTTCCATCTCCTCAGCAGACACAAAGTTGACTTTCTTCATTGTGGACTGAGCTAGGATCAGCTTATCCAACTTCTCATTCAATGCCTTAACATCTTTTCTCAACTTTTCGTCTGACTCGATCGAGTGGTGGGTCGAGCTCCGGTTGGTGCGATCATACTCTTCTCCATAGCTTCCATTTGAGTTAGCTATGTTCTCCACAAGTTGCCAGCCATCATCTACATCCTGGTTGAGGAAGTTCCCATTGCTAGCTGTGTCTAGCATCTCCCTATACCTAGGCAAGCATCCTCTATAAAGAGTGGAGAGTAGTGATTCATTGTTGAATCCATGGTGTGGGCACTGACTTGTGTAGCCCTTTGAACCTCTCCCAAGCCTCTGCGAATGTCTCATTGTTTCGCTGGATGAAGCTGGATATCTCTCCTCTAAGCTTGGCTGTGCGACCGGTGGAGAAAAATTTAGCAAGAAAGGCCTTCTTGCATTCATCCCAAGTGGTGATTGTGCCATGGGGCAAGCTCTTCTCCCATTGGTGAGCTTTGTCAGCTAGAGACATAGGAAAGAGTCTCAGCTTGATGGCATCTTCAGAGACACCATTGATCTTTGTCAAATCACAAAGCCTATCAAACTCATCAAGGTGGTCAATGGGGTCTTCACTTGGCAATCCATGGAACATCTTGTTCTGGACAAGGTTGATCATTCCCAGCTTGATCTCAAAGTTGTGGTTCTGCACTGGTGGTGGAACAATCCCTTGTCTCTGTTGGTGGCGGTTTGGAGCATCTCCTTGACCAATCGGTCGAGTTTGCCTAGCTCGACCGAGTCCATGTCCCAAAGGGTTTCCATTCCCTTCTGGTACATCCATTGTATCAGCAACAAGCAACGGCTCCAAATTGATGATAAAAGTTTGTGTGTGGATGTGATAAGAAGTGAAATGAAGGATGATAAGATATGAGGTGGAATGCAAACAGGGGTGAATAAAGATGAAATGGTGCAATCACAATCAATCAACAATTCCTCTTAACCATCATAGTCATTGAAGTATAAGAGGTTATCAATCCAAAATGGGAAATCTTGTCACTCTATGAGAATATGAAACAACCAGAAGTCAAGCAAGCAGTTATAGGTTTTAAGTAACACTAACAACCTAAGAAATGAAAATGCAGTGCAATAAAAGTAAACAAAGCAGTGTAAACAAGTAGCTCGACCAAGGGACTCGAGTCGAGTTGGGACAGAGCACCAGCTCGATCGAGTTGTGGGTCGAGTTAGCGAAAAAGACAGTAAAGGTGACGACTTTAACAAGATAAAGAGAGAATTAGGGTTCAAGACAGGGTTTTGCAATCAAAGGAATCTACACTTAATCAATCTAGCTCTTAAAACTCCTTGTATCAAGGCTTCTCTTGATATTGGGCTTCTCAATGCCTAGCCAACCCTTTCCCAAGGTGGAGGCTATCAACCAAGGAATGATCTCAGAAACAGGGGGTTAGCCAGTGAGAATCAAACCTTGGAGGCCATAGGATCATTGCCCAAACTAATCCATCCAACCCCTTAGACCTCTATTGTCTAGAGCAAGAGATATTGGAGCTCTTAGTGGATCTTTTCCAGCGAATGCCATCACTTCCGTGTGGGGATCGCCTAAGGACTTACAAGCCAGGGGTAGTGGTCATGTAGCCTTAAGATCTATCCAAAAGAGAGAGAATCTAGATTAAGACCATAAGCTAGAAGGATTAAGCATATGAAACCTCTAATCTATCCCATCTCAAACCCTAATGGGTAACTACTCACTACACATGAATGTAAACACAAGCAAATGCAATGAAAAGACATCATAAGAAAGAGGAGATGAAATTAAAGAACTTTTATTGAAATAAGCAAGTGCAAATACAAAGCAAATAATCCAGGATCTAAGATTCAAGAAGCAAGAGCTTCAAGAACACAAAGATGGGATTAGGGTTGCTAAAAAGTAAAGACAATAAATTAAAGAGAAGCTAAAACAAAGATAATCTAAAGCTTGGTGGTTTTTTCGTGGCTTAGAGCCTTTAAATACAAAGAGGATTAGGTTTAGGGTCAAAGGAAAGTCAAGGGGGAAGCAACATTTTTCGGGTTTGACTTTGACTCCCCAGCTCGATCGAGTTGAAGCTTGGCCGGTCGAGTGGACGGTCGAGCTGGTCTTCAAGATGGCTTCTCCCTTCTTCCTTTGCGTGTCCAGTTGAGCTGCTTCCATGCGCCAAGTCCCTCCATGCTCCTTATGTCCCATATGCTCCAGAATGCTCCAAAAGACCTATTTCAAAGGACCAAACATGCATATGTATGCAAATGCAACCTAAAACTAACATGAATGCATAAGAAGAGAAAAGGAACAAGATATGATACAAATGGAAGCTAAAACTATGCAAAAGATGCATAAAAGATGTGCTAAAACTATGTAAAATGAAAGTACATAAAAACCAACGAGATAAGATTAAGGATGCTGGAGGAATCTCTAGATTTGAGTTCAATGCCCTTTACCAGGATGTTTATGAGTTCAGGGCAGCATAGTAAGTGATGAATGTTTCAATTAGCATTAGACTCGAAATTTTTTCTCTGTAACTAATAAAACAACCTCTGTGCAGTTTTAATGAGAGCGACCCTACAGGGATAGAGAGTGATGGTTCAAGTGTTGAGCTGGATTGGTCTCCCTGAAAAATGTGTTTCACTTGGAGGGAAAATAAGTTGAACTTAAAGTCAACTTATTGAACTGTTCTAGACCCTGTGCTTCTATGCTGCCTATATTTAAATAATCTTTGGGGACTGTCGTTTGTTGTGTTTTCGTTGTCGTTTATAGACATTTTTACCTAATTAAATCATCCGTATGGATGTTGTTAAAGTTTTTCTCTTGAATTTTGGCCCATTTTCAACAAAACTGAGTCCATTATCGGAGATATGTTTGATCAGCTTAATAAATGTTTGTCTTTATATTTACTTTTTAACCTGTTATGCGAGTAGAATAAATTTTATTCATTACGAGTATTCAGTTAATTCATACCTTTCCCCTTTGCGTGTTAGACCATAAAGAAAACAGCTTTTCCTGTTTACATAGAGAAGACAAAACTGACAAACATTAGTCAATGCGAATCTATGACTAAAATATTTAGTTTACATAAAAAAAATTAAAATCATAACAAATATATTGCTGAAATATTTTGTTTACATAAAAATTAGGAGGCATAACAAAAAAGGGTAAAACCTAATTCTGGAATTATATAAGGGAGATGAATAGCTCTTTATGTATTAGGGTCTAAACGAAAACTTAAGAAAATCTTTCAGAACATGGCTAATTTTACTAGGATCGCCGAGCTTTCTCCTCATCGGAATGATTATATAATAAGAGTGAAGATTTTGAAAAAATGGAAGGAGATGATATTTGGAGGTGGAGACATATTGAGTTTTCTTTTAGTCGATGAACATGTAAGTTTAAGAATTCCTATTGTGTTTTTTTTAGTATAGATAGGTCTAATGTTTTATCCGTTGGCTTACCTGGACTATCAACTAATTCAATTCTACTTTGTCAAATGAAAAGGGTGAAAAAATACCTGCTAAGGTTAGTCCGGAGATTGGCCTCAATGACGATTTCGACTTCAATCTGCACGAAGGCCACTGGATGATTATCTCAGGATTCATCGTTGAGTTAACACCACCTCCTTCACTTTTCTCTGAGAATAATCATACCATCATCTTCACCGAGGATACAGATCTGCATGTGTCAACTGGTGTTCATCAAGACCATTACATGGAGTTCAAGGACTACACAGATATAAAGAATGGAGTATACAACTCGCATCGTCCTATCGGTAAGTGAATACGTCTCTACATTTTTAACTCGTGCAAATGAGACATATTGTATACTACTGTTAGACAAGCACATCTTTAATGGAGTTAGTCACAGACAATTTAACATTATGTTTTCAATGGAAACTAGATCTTATAGGTTATCTGGATGACGTTGAAGAGATAAGAACAGTGAAGGACCACAACTTTAGACTAGCTCCTGGCAAGAAGACTTCTAGAGTCATGTTCACGATAAAGGGCTTAGAGTAAGTGAAGCAAAATTGTCTGTGACTTAATTCAGACTTCTACCCGTTATAATATATTTCGTTTTTTGAGTGTAAACTGTTTTTTAACATATTGAATTTAGTGGTGTAACACTGGAATGCAAAGCTTATGGAGTCTTGGCGGATCAGCTCTATGATAAATGGTGGTATCATGGTACAACAGAAACATTCATCACAATGAGCGACTGGATGGTTTACGGAGAACAAAGTATGCAATCTTTTAATTTCATCATTTCGAAATAGTTACTACAATGAAAGTGAGTCTACAACTTCATTACTTGCGATCAACTGTTAAAATAAATGATAGGAACCGGTGAGCTGAAGATTAAGGACGCAGGAGGAATATCTAGATTTGAGTTCAATGCTGATTATCAGGATGTTTATGATTTCAGCGCTGAATAGTAAGTTAGAAATCTATTTACAATATCTTTACATTCCTTAATTTTTTGTTAACATTAATCGTAACTAATACTAATTATGCTAAACATTTTTTTTTGCAGTTTCAATGACAGTGATGGCTCTGTTGAGGAGGTGGTAGTAGTATCTCCATGAAATACTACTGTGTTAGTATGAATTTCCATAAGAGATTGTTGCCATGTTGTTTTTGAACTATTGACTGTTTCAGTTTATGCTTGATTCACAATTCTATCTATGAACTATCTACTATCATCTTTGAATCTGTTTCTTCTATCTCCTTCCTATATTTGAATCTGTTCTTCTATAACCATATCTGAGTGATTTTACATGCACTATTTCGTATATGCAATCATCATTATATTAATAGAGTGTCAAATCCCTAAAGACCTAATTTTAATGAGTACAAATGATATTATATTAACTGTGACATTAAATCCGAAAAGTTTGGTAAAGAAGATTCGGGAAAATAGCCATAGATATAATCATTGTTACCAGAATTTAAAAATGTTAAAAATATATAAAATTACAAAAAAAAAAGGAAAAAACATTACTTTGCGTCGTTTAGTAATATCAACCGTCCCAATCAAAGACAACCCTAATTTGTTTCCCTATATAAGGAGAGTGTTCTCCGAACTTATGTTCCAGAGTAGAAAACTAAGAACTCCATTTCTAGAAAATATCTTCAATGGCAAACTTCACCAGACTCAACGTGTTGACACCTAACCGTTCTGATTGGAGGGTTTTGGTTAGAGTTGAAAAGATGTGGGATACCTTGGAGGCAGATGTTGGTGAAGGTCTAAGCTTTCTTTTTGTGGATGAAATGGTTTGTTCTCAATCTATTCATATTCATATTTTCTCATATACAAGTTCTTTATATTCCAAAATCATGTTCCTAACTACACTTTATGTTACTCTAACAGGGCACAAAGATGCATGCTTTTGTTGAACAAAGTAATCAGATGAAAAGGTTCAAGAGATGTCTTCATGAAGGGGAATGGAATATTCTAACCGGATTTTCCGTGGTCATGGTGAACACAGAGATCCGTTTGACGGAAGCCAGAAACAAGATTGCTCTCACGTCCAACACCAGCGTCACACCCGCAGAGGACTCGGATGCTTGGATTCCGCTTGACATCGTTCCTTACGAATATGTTTCGAATTTTTGGAATGATGAACGAACTTCTTTCCCTAGAGGTTAGTTTTTCTTACTTAACATTTTGTATCATCTAAACGAGGAACCCTATAGGAAAAGTAGCTTTCAATATGTTAATTTTATTTGGCATTTTTTTGTAGACTTTCTAGGGTTTATACTTGAAGTTCGTGAGACAATGCTCAGGGAAGATGTCTCTATTCCTAGGAACCCTTTAAACGATGATCCAAAGACCACTAACACAATAGATTTCACCTTACAGGACAACGAGTAAGTATATTTACACAAAACTAAATTGGAATAAGTTATGTATCGTTTCTGAATTCTAACCTGAAATACATACACTATTTGTGGCTACTTTAGTGGGGATCAAATACAGTGTCGTGTAAAGGGTGCCTTAGCATCTAAGTTTAAACGGTTTTGGCTTTACTATGGTAAAATTGAGACCATCGTATGCCTCTTAACCGATTGGCGGGTTGTAGAAGATGCGGGTAAGTGTATGAAAATTTCCAGTTACATCCTTCCTTGAATAATCTATACTATTAAATATTATTTATCTTGATGGGATGTTATAATTTATATGTGTAGATCCAATTCATATCGAAAGTGAAGAAGGAATCTCTAGATTTGAATTCAATCCTATTGGCTTTGATGAGGTTGACCATTTCACTGAGATAATGTAAGTATTCTAAGAATGACTCTCTCTGATAACAAGAATTATGAAAAGGCTTAAAACTTGAAAATTACAGCTTAATAAAACTAATGTGTCTATGCAGGTGCTCTTCCTCACAAGACAGCAGCGAAGAAGATGTTGAAGAAATGGAATTTGATTATTTCAATGGCTGTAGAACCGACAACAAAAGTTGATGGACTTCACGATATGCTCAAGCAAAATGTCGGAAGATATTTTAAGATGATGCACGTCGTCTACTTTTCTGTCCATGGTTATTATCTAAGACAACTATGTATTAAACCTTTGTTTCATGTTTGGGAACCTTTTTAAACTTTTCTGGCTTCTATTTAACTATGTTTGATTTGATTTGTTCATAGTCTTTTCTAATAACATAACAGTAGGTCACAACTTAAAATGAAACAAACAGAAAAACACGGATTGGAAAGGATTGAAAAACAACAAACATTTACCTTGGTGTATTTTGCATCTATTCGAATATGTAATGATTCTCTAGCCGGTTACGTAGATTCCGCAACTTAATGAACTCTCCTTTTCTGAAAATATCCGTATATTCAGTTAATTATCACAAGAAAATATTCAATCTTCAGAAAATCTTCAGGAAATATTTAAGAATCCATGATTAAATGCAACCGTCCACATAAACGCAACCCTAGAAAGAACATCATATATAAGCGGAAAAATTCATCCTATTTCAATCAAAACTCTGTAAAGAAGAAAAGAAACCTAAAAAACAACTTCAATGGCAAACTTTGAGAGACTCGCCATGGTTACACCCAATGGAGATGATTCAATGATTCGAGTGAGAGTTGAGAACGTGTGGTCTACTCTAGATGTCGAGAATGGTGAAGGCCTCAGTTTCCTGGTGGTTGATGATGAGGTTTGTGAATAGTTAACCTATACAGTTAAACATTCAAGTATATTTTAGAGGTAACAAATTTTAATGTTTTAATCTCTTCTCATTTTTGCAAACAGGGCACAAGGATGCATGCATTCGTCCAGCATTTTGCTGATGCCAAGAGATTTAAGAGACTTCTTCAGAAAGGAGACTGGTTCACGATAACTGGTTTCTCAGTTGTTATTGTCCGGAATGAGATTCGTATGACTAAACAAAGAAAAGAGATCGTTCTCAAGCGAAACACAGAAGTTGGTGTTTCAGAATTGTTCAATGGTTTTATTCCGCTAGATTTGGTTCCATTTCAGGATGTTAAGAACGGAACTGTTCACGATGGAACTTCTTACACTAGAGGTTAATTTTCCTTACTAATACTATTGTCAAAGAGCAAAATTTTAAGATTAATTAAAATCCTTTTGTTAAAGTTTGATACTTTGTTTTAAACGGTTTTTGTAGACTTTCTAGGCGTCATATCTTCTGTTTCAGATTTCGGCCTCACAGTGGATGACTCTATGCCTAGAAACATACATAACTATGATCCTAAGACCACCGGATCGATTGACTTTGTTCTTGAAGACAACGAGTAAGAATTTGATAACTACTTATTAGATCTTTTCCAAACTAAGAAACGTGATATCTTATATGATTATGAATGTCACAGTTTCATGGTTATGCAGTGGAAATCATCTAAACTGTCGTGAAAAGGGCATCTTGGCGGTTCTCTTTAAACGTAATTGGCTATGTTATGGTGAAACCGGAACAAACATATGCCTATTAACCAATTGGCGTGTTGTTGGAAGAGATGGTTAGTAAACTTTGAAAACCTTAAGTTACCTTCATCTTACGCTATAGCATCTCAATATCAACTAGATAATGATCAACCATTACTCTATAAACTACCAGGTCCTATTCAAGTCGAAGATGAAGAAGGGATTTCTACTTTTGAGTATGATCCTCCTGGACACCACGAAGTGGTACATTTCACGAACATATTGTAAGTATTATAATTCGGAAGTACAAAGTGTTTTAGAATGTAGGCTGCTCCTTATGACCATTCTTAGGTTCTGGTTTACTGCAGATTGCACCAAGAAGAGGACCTGAGCGATGAATGATGAGAAGGAGTAATGAAGGAGATAAATCACTGAATCATTCCCATCGAAGTATGAAGATCTTTTCCGTTTAAGTATTTCTTGAGCTTTTGTTTGCAGTTTAGCTATGAGAATCTAAGTATGCACCTTTCATTTCAACTATGGTTTTAAAATATCCTATGTTCTTCAAACGTTGTGAACTTTGTTAGTCTATGAGAATGATGTTTTAAAACTTTTTTCCATTTTTGAGAACTACCTATATATTGTGATTGTATTTACGTTTGTCTTAATTTGTTCTTAGTTTATGCAAATAACTTAACAACGAAATTGTTAATCTAACGGAGAAATCAAGTTTCCCTTATGGTAACAAATTCAAATCACAACTAAAAACCTAAAATAATTCTAACGGATACCACAGAGATACGAAAAGGTGTCCAAGAAAAATATTTACCTGAGTATTTTGCAGTGAAGTTTTTTGGTATTCAACAGCAATGTCTTCTCCTTTTCAATCCGTGCTTCACTCATGATCGCTCAGCCCGTCAAACATACAACCAAGTAATGTGATTAAGAAATGTTAAATAAATTCACCATTATGACGGGATTGAATCTTATTTGTGTTATCTGATCTAGGAGGCAAGTAAAAATCGAAGTCTTGCTACAGGGAAGGAAATTGCGAGAGCTTAGAGGTTTACCTGACCTACAGAACGGAGACGCAAGGGCACAGTCCCGTCAGCTGCAGAGATCGATTTTGCTGGGTTCTTTTGAGTAGAGCATAGGATTTTCACGAACATTGAAAAGATCTGGATTAGGTCAGACCACAAAAATGTTTGAGATTGATCGATTGAGATTTCGTCAATTGGAGAATTTCAGTAACAGAAGAAGATGAAGAAGACGAGCGGAGAAGTGTTAACGCGAGGAGCATAAAGGAAAAAGAAGAAGATGAAGGAGACGACCGGATTTTTGTCGAAAGAGAAGATGTTGCGACGATATCGCGAAACAAAATCGGCAAGAAATGGTAACGGCGATTGTCGGCTCAATTACAAATTGTAAAGTAAACCAGTCGGTTAAGCTAAACCGAACAAAATTGAATTCAATCGCTCGGTTTACCTGAATTGAACCAAATCAATTTCTGGTCATCATCTATACTATTAAATCTATACTATTAAACTTAAGAATATACCCAAAATATCTATACTATTAAACTTAAGAATATACCCAAATTAAGGAGTTATAATTTAAGAGTATTGATTTTCTTTTATGATTTCTGCAACTGAATTAATTTTGGAACAAATGGAAATAATAAATAGGGGTTATCAAATTTGAAATATTAATTCTATACTTATAACTCACCAAATCAAACCCGCAAAACCATACATTATGAAACCAAGCAAAACGGTAAATCTTTAAACCGAATGAGATATACGTATATAACCAAAATATAACTCACCAAATGAAACTGTGCAAACCCGTAAAACAACATATCTGTATGTTATACTGTCAAAACATATTGAAGGCGGTTTGAGCAAGACTGCCTCAGAGTCAGTATCTTGCATGAAAACATAACAAACTTTTTTTAAAATAATTACCGTATCAATATTATAAAAACATTTACAAAAAACTTTTCATCCCGTGCTTCCCAAGCACGGGTCAGGATCTAGTTGGCAATTAAAGATCAAGTTATGGTTCATATAAATAGGGAAATGCATCAAATCACAGCAATGGTTGAATGAGATGTGCATGCAGTGATATGATCAAGATAAACATGGTTTTGTTGCTCAATCAATCTCACCTAATGCACAAGAGAATCTACAAACAGGGCACTCAAGAAATCGCAAAAATGAACAAGTTTTCAAAGTCAAATCAACAATGCAAGTGAAAAATGCAATCCTAAACAAGTCTAACAAATATGAATGCAAAAAGATGAAAATATTTTTGGATTTTTTGAAAATTTTATGATTTTTTTGGTTTTTCTATGCAATAAGATGAATGAAAAACTAAGAACAAAGAAAACAAGGTTAAATCATCTCTTGAACCCTCCCCCAAACTTAAATCACACAGTCCCTTGTGTGAGAGAAATTTAGTGAAAGATTCAAGAGGGCAAAACCAAGAAAAACAAAAACAAAGCAAAGAAAATATGAAATGGTATATACAAGGGTTGGTGTTTGATACCTCAGTGCCCCCCAAAGAACTGGGAGGCAAGGTCGTGGTCTGGAGAGGGCAGACGGCCATCAGGGACACTCCACTCGACTGGGTTTGCCTCACTCGATCGAGCTTGCGGCTCCTCTTCTTCCTCTTCTTCATCGAAGTGTGTGTGGCTTCCTTGGCCTTGGTGGAGCATGGCTAGCTCGTACTGTCCATAGGGGTTCCATCTACTCCGAGGGTGCTCCTGGTAAGGCGTTGGATCGTATTCAAATCCCGGATCCTCAAACTGTGACTCCTCAAGACCAACTCGACCGTCAGCTCGACCGAGTTGAGTTTCCTCTGTTTGGACTCGATCGAGTCCAGTGGTCGAGCTGGAGCGTCTGGCCTTAGAGCTCTTCCTCCTTCTCTGTGAGTTGTCTTCTCCCTCCCTTGGCTCGAATGAAGAGGCTCTGTGAGGCTCTTGGGCAGGGAGCCTCCTTGGAGTGGTGAGAAGGGATCTACTCCTAAGGAATGTGGAACTCATGGGGGCCTTCTTCTTCTTGCTTGATGAACCAGAAACCTTCTTCTCCAAACTTTTGATCTTGCTCACCATCTTGTCCATGGACTTTTGCATCTTTTCAATGGCCTTCCCTTGCCATTTGTTGAACTTTTGGAGAAGTCCAATCCTCTTGTGGGCAGCCACAACAGAGGGGTTCATCCTTGGAGCCTCATACTCCTCAAAATAATAGCACTCAGGCTCACCCAAATCCGCACTCTCCTGGACCTGATCCTCAGCTTGAGACTCAGCTCGATCCTCAGCTCGATCGAGCTCAGGCTCCTCTTCTCGCAAATCATCCTCATGCCCAACTAATGTGTACACAGGGGGTCTGAAGTCAATGTTCTCACCCCTGACTACTGTGGTGAGCTCTGGGTTGGGCAGGAGAAACTTGGAGGGTCCAACCAATGGATGTGTGAACTTGAATTGGAACCTCCCATCCAACTCCTTGTGCTCAATGAGAAGGTTGGTCTTGCAAAACTTGATGTCCATCCAACCTGGTTCAGTGGCTTTCTTATCAGTTGGGTTCACTCCAGCAGCACACAAGATAGGAGTGATGAGCCCTCCAACACTTAGGCGCCTCCCTCGTTGATGTCTAGTGTTGTAGGCTGTGGTCTTGTAGGTGAGGAGATGGTCAAGGAAAGGCATCAAGTTTCCTGTGTTGATCTATCTCCCCTGATCCTCTTGCCATCGCTTGTGCGTGAGAGAATGGGCTTGATTCCCATGTCAAGAAACTTGAGTTCCCCCTCGTTAATGGTCCCGGTCGCCTTCCTTGCAAAGAAGGTGTTGGCAAGTGCCTTGTGCACATACCTCAACACTGGGCTCCTGATTTGAGCTGCCTTGGACCTTGAGGAAGAGTACACTCCATCAGCGATTGTAGCCCAAACCCTTTGGAGTTCCTTTCCTTGAAGTTCCACTTGGTACCCTTCTCCATAGTTGAACCCAAACAAGATCTCCAACTGCCTAAAGGTCACCATTCTCTTCTCTCCCTTAGCCAAGAACGTGATCCATCCCAATCCTTGGTCCAAATCAGCTCTATCTTCCTCATCGTACATGTGGTACCTCATTGAAGCTAAGAACTCGCAAGTGAGCTCCTTGTAGGATTCCATGTGATAAGAGAAGAATTGGCCAAGTGCATGTTCTTGAGAACTAGCTCCACATCTTCAAAGATTCCAAGGGCCTTCATTGTGTCAACATGTGGGTACTTGGTATCCATAAAGTCCATGGAGAAGAGGGCATTGTAGTGCTCTTGGTACATAGGGAGTTCTTCTCCTCCTCTTGTGGCTCTCTTGTGGCTCAACCTCCTCCATAGGTTCATCTTGGTTACTCTCTTGCTCACTTTCTTCAACCAACTGATTCACCTCTTCTCCTTCCTCTTCACTCTCAGTCTCATCACTTCCTTCTTCACTTGGAGAGCCATTTCCCTCCTCTTGAACAAGGTTCACTCCAATCTCAAACTCCCCTTGCTCACTCTCACTACTAATGGGGTCATTCCTCTTCTTGGTCCTCCTTTCCTCCCTCAATCTCTCGATCTCAGACTCTTCCTCAGAGTATACATACTCCTCTGCATCAGACTCTTCCATCCTTTGAGTCATTGCCTCCAAATCGGCTTGCATTTTAAGCCTTCTCTCCATTCTCACCCTCTGTGAAGCGCGACTTCCCTCACTGTTTGTCATCTCTGTTACACTGTTTCTTCACTAAAGTACCTGAAATGCATCAAAGATTACAAAGAATTAGAGTTGTAATGATCGGTTTGGTCAACTCGACACTCAGCTCGATCGAGTCAAAAAACTCGAGTGACAAACTCGATCGAGCTAAGTGAAAACAGAGTATAACCGAACCTAATTCAAACAAATAGAGCTGGAAAGGATGCTATTAATCAAATTGAACCAAAAACAACAAGTAAATGGAACAATGAGCAATTCTAGTGAAACTAAGCATCTTAACCAATACCAAACTCAAATTCAATGTTTCAAGCACATGCAACAAGTTCTAATAGTGAAACAGAGGTGAGGTGAGGCAAATTCACAATGGTATAAACAGGAGATTGATATGAAAGCAATTACTCAAGAATAAACCCACAAGGGGCACATGCAATCAAAATCAAAGAGGAAACAAGCAATAATGGAAATCGAGATGAAGGAATCAAGGGTTTAGGGTTCATACCTTGCTTGAATGATGAATTGAAGAACAGTAAGCTAGAACCCAAAGCAAAACAATGAAGAACAAGAGAAATCGCAAAAACTTAAGAGAGAATTGAAAACTCGATTTTTCTTGTGGTGATGAGAGAGAGAGATGATTTTCAGAAATTTAAGAGTGTGGGAGAGTGGAGAAGTGGGTTCGATCGAGTTATGGGGAAGAGGGAGTGTTTGAGATGTGTGGTTGAGGATTAAAAGGTGAAAGAAAGAGGGGACAAAAGCTAGGGTTTTTCTGATCAATTAGGGTAGTGGGGGACCAAAATTTACTTGTGGGACCCACCCCCTTGACCAAGAAAACGGTTAGAAATTTGAAATTCAAAACTTACCTTGGTCGAGTTGTGGAACTCGATCGAGTTACCCTGTTTCTAGCTCGATCGAGCTGTCGGTCGAGCTGGCTCCTTTGTCACCTAAACTTAACTTATTGAAAGGTTAAAGACACGAAAATAGATAGAAATTGCATAAATAGAATATGTACAAGGATAAACATGGGACTTCCTCCCAAGTGAGCTTGTTTAAGGTCCCATAGCTTGACCTTTACCTTCTTAGGCATTGGTTGAGCTAGTCCCACCATCAAGGGTGATAGTGAGGACTTGAGACAGAAGCTCCTTTAGCTTGGTTGGGTCCCTGGACTGTTCTGAAGTCACCAAGGCCTTGGCTCTAGAGAATGGCCTTGATCTCCCCTTGTACCTTATCTTGTACTCAATCTTCCCATTTTCAAACTTGGTGGGGAACAAAGTCATTGTGAGCTGAGATGGCTTGACTGAAGGGGCCTGAGCTGGTGGATCTTTCTTTTATCACCTGGTCTTGCCTTAGAGCCCTTCCTAGTGGCTCATCAAACAAAGCTTGAAGGCTCTCTTCATCAAGCACACAAGGGGCTTGAACAAGTCTATCTCAGCTCTTGGCCTATCAGATCGTGGTTTCTGATGTACTTGCATTTTACATAGTTTTAGCACATCTTTTATGCATCTTTTGCATAGTTTTAGCATCCATTTGCATCATATCTTGTTCCTTTTCTCTTCTTATGCATTCATAGTAGTTTTAGGTTGCATTTGCATACATATGCATGTTTGGTCCTTTGAAATAGGTCTTTTGGAGCATTCTGGAGCATATGGGACGTAGGAGCATGGAGGGACTTGGCACATGGACGCAGCTCAACTGGATACGCAAAGGAAGAAGGGAGAAGCCATCTTGAAGACCAGCTCGACCATCTACTCGACCAACCGGTCGAGTTCCTCAACTCGACCGGCCAAGCTTCAACTCGATCGAGCTGAGAAGTCAACAGTCAAACCCGAAAAATGTTGCTTCCCCCTTGACTTTCCTTTGACCCTAAACCTAAATCCTCTTGTATTTAAAGGCTAAAAGCCACGAAAAAACCACCAAGCTTTAGATTACTTTTGTTTTAGCTTCTTTTAATTTATTGTCTTTTACTTTTGAGAGCTCTAATCCCATCTTTGTGTTCTTGAAGCTCTTACTTCTTGAA